ACATTCTGCTATGAGGACCTGCACCAACCAGCCTGATGTTAAATATTTATGCTTGAGAGAATTCGTTGAACAACAACAAGGCTTAATAACACCTTGCAATGGTGTGTGCTAGATTCTGCTATGCAGGGCAAGTTACTAAGGGCCTCGCCGAAAGCACCATATCCCATGCAATTATGTGTGGAGTCCTGTGGAATCCAATGGGATGGATTATTAGTTTGAGCAACTGGCCTCATGGATGGTTACACTGTAGCTCTTAATAGATGGGCCTGAACCCAGATTCCAGAACTCAAATGCCAAGAAATGTTGGGGAGAGCTTGGAATGTGAACAATTGGGTCCAAATCTGGGTTGAACCAAAATTCAGACCCCAACACCCCCTATTGTAGAGGTGTTCAAAATCTGGATGAATGCTCTACAACGAAGGCCCCTCTAGGGTTCTCTCATTATCATCATCAGCACCAACAACATACTAAATTATTTGCAGCATGGTAGTGCCTAGAGACTCCAACCAAAATCAGGATGCTGTTCTATATAGATAGTCCCTGCCACAATGAGCTTACAATCTAAGACAGCGATACTCAGCCCCCAGTGGTTCAGAAGCCAGAGCCACAGCATTATGAATTCATTATATATATATATTTCTCACAGCAAAATGACCAAGTATTATTATTTTATCAACTACAATTGTTTAATAACATAGTAAAAGAGCCCGATAGGTTAATATCGTAGACTGGTTAATAATTTAAATCACACCATGTTTTAATATCATGTGTTGCAAAGAGCCACAGGAGACACATTAAAGAACCCCTTACTGTTCTCGAGCCTCCGAGTATCACTGATCTAAATAAATATTTTGGTCCTAAGCTGAGTTTGAGGCCTTTCCTGCAGAGGAATTATCTTCTATTCCAGTGGTTTTCAACCTTTCATTTGCGGACCCCTAAAAAATTTCAAATGGAGGTGCAGAGCCCTTTGGAAATCTTAGACAAAGTCTGCGGGCCCCTAGGGGTCCACAGACTACAGGTGGAAAACCACTGTCCTATTTTATTCTCATGCCTATCCTATGTTATCTAAGGGTGTATCACTCCATCTTGCTTTCACCACCTTAGTATCTGAGTTTAAGTGGTGCAAATGCTCACAAAAAATGAATCTAAAATTTGTTTTCCATGAGGATCCAAATGTATGAGCTGAAAACTTGCTTATCCATTGAGATTTCCTACTTGTTTAAGAAAGAGAAAAAATTTAGCCTCTGTCATGTGGAACACTTCCCATCTACATTTGAAAGGCTTGTGTGTCCAACACATTGTCTTATATTGGCTGTAGTTTGAACAAAGGTCTTTTAAGCAGCAGTCCCAGGGCTACAACTACTGATGTTACCCAGCCACCTGCCCTTCCCAGCCCTGCTGTTTTCTTTGGTGTCCCTTTTTTTTTTTGTTAATCGCTGGAACACATGTGCAACCTGATGTGTTTTTTCCCCCTTGGTGCCTAAAGCGCTGGCTTCAAACCAAACACCAGGCCCAGGGTTTGCAGCTGTGAAAAAAAAAAAAAAAATTCAACAACCTGTGGAATGTTTCCTTGCTTCTGAGAACTAGAGTACTTTTTATTGCTCAGTAGAACACTTTCCATGGCTGGCACCTACAGCATCCATCAGCCAACTGGATTTCCTTTCCAATGGGTTCCAAGTAGAGCTTGGGCAAAGACTACTGGGGGGGAAAAATAATTCTGCAAATATTCAGTCGTGTTTTTAAACAAATTCACTTTGGCCAGATGCGCAGTTTGTTTCCTGCAAACGTTCGTGTGATGGCAATAGCACAAATGTTTGTGGCGAACAAGCGTGTAGCTTGCACGCCCAAATACTCGTGGCAAAAATTCATCCAGATCCTTGTGGTGAAATTCATTTTCTGGGAGCGTTCACACCACTCCAACCCAGATACTATGGTGCTGAAAGCAGAATGGAAAGATTAGATAGAGGATTATCAGGATTATGCTCATCCACTCAGGGAACAGAAATACCATGTGGTTTATGCGACCCTACAGCTTTGCCTTGTTGGCTGGCACAACAACACTGGAGAAGACTGAGTAAGTTTTAAAATGTTTGTGGAGAGTTTACTACTTATAAACGCAGGGGATTCACATGCATTGTGTGGGCAGATTTTAAACAAGCTTCCCGAAAACAGCTCTGCCAAAGCATTCCCTGGGACCCCAATGCACTTCAAACCTGACCACAACACCCCTTTCCATCGCAGTGTGTGGCCCCACACAGCCCTGCAAATGCATGTCAGTCCCAGCCTGCATTGCCTGCTGTTCTGCCACCCCAACCCCTTTCCAGAACAGAAATGGCCGGTCAGATAAACTGGATGGTGGTTACTGTGATGCAAACAAAGAGGGGACTGGGATGAAACCCAGCAAACTCATTCCACATGTAACCTAAGAAAGGTACATAGACCTCCAAAGTGGGCAGGCGAATGCATTAATGCACCAAACTGACGAGCTCCCCCCTTCCACCGTGGCTAAATTGTTTTAAAGAGAAGGCTTTCATTCCAAGCATCCCTTTCAGAGAGATCTCTTCCAAGGAGATAACGAGCCTGTCCTATCAGTACAAGAAACAGACGGTAGCTCATAGCATGACCCACAATCTTCTGCTTGAGCCTACAACCACAGGGACTATTGCTCAAGCATTACATTCCTATTCCCTGCTTCGCAAGAACAGCTGGACTGAAAAGATGCTGAGAATCTCTTCACGGTTCCAAGGAAAAGATATTAAGCTAGGAGGGGAGCCACAGGGCTATAATAAAAAGTCATAATAAACGAGAGAGGCCATTGAGTAGATTAGCAGCACAATGTTTGCTTGGCTTTTGGTTTCCTTTCATACAGCTTTATTCAACACACCGGGACCCGGTGAAGTTCTTTAGAAAGGTTCTACTGCTTCACTATTTAAGACAGATCTACAGCAGTTAAGATGCTATATGATCCATGGGGCAAAGCTTTAGGGCATTACTAAGAAAGAGGATGAATTTTAACTGTGTCAGAACACACAAATGACAGGACAAGAACATGTAACGGATTGTTACCTGTTGGAATCCTGTGTGGTTTTCCCATGGAATGACCAGTGAGCCTTAACATCCTACCTGAGAAATTATGGAAGGATTATAGCCAATCCTAGAAAGAAAAGGAGTACTTGTGGCACCTTAGAAACTAACCAATTTATTTGAGCATGAGCTTTCGTGAGCTACAGCTCACTTCATCGGATGCACGAAAGCTCATGCTCAAATAAATTGGTTAGTCTCTAAGGTGCCACAAGTACTCCTTTTCTTTTTGCGAATACAGACTAACACGGCTGTTACTCTGAAACCAGCCAATCCTAGGTCGCTGCTTGCTGCAGAAAAATAACAAAGGAGAATTTGCAGCTGGTATGTTCCTTTCTAGGTGGTGGGGTTGGAAGGGGTTTCAGGAGGTTATCTAGTCCAACCCCCTGCTCAAAGCAGGACCAATCCCCAATTTTTGCCCCAGATCCCTAAATGGCCCCCTCAAAGATTGAATTCACAACCCTGGGTTTAGCAGGCCAATGCTCAAAGCACTGAGCTATCCCTGCCCCACACCATAGGAAAGTCCACACCCTTATGGCCACTGTTAAGTCTGGAACTTAAAAAACTTCAGATAAGTAAAAGGACACAAGCTTGCAGGTCAGCAACAAAAACTCTGCTGTATATTGGTTTTCCACAGACCACATACATTTAAGGTTAATAGATTTTAAGGTCTGATAAAACCATTACAAATAGCTAGTCTGTTGCCATCTCATAGGGGGCCAAGTTCAGCCACTCTTTCTTCTGTCAAGCTCTATCTGACTCTAAGAGCAGTCCAATGATTTCAGCTGAAAGTAAGTACTACTAAGATTGAGTACAGTGGCCCATACTTTTAAAGTAAGTGGTTTCCATGGAAAACTACTCCGAATGTTAACACACAATGGGCTAGAGCAGGGGTGGCACGTAAACTGCACCTCCCAGAGCTGGTCCCAATTTTTCCTTTAAAACTTTTTTTTTAATGGAAAAATGGCTTTTTGAGCTAATGGAAATTTTCTCACCAAACTTTTCATTTTTGTCCAAAACAAATGGTTTGTTTATTTGAAAACCAAAAATAATATTTTTTCAGTTTTTAATAACTGAAAAATGATGGCAAACCTAAAAAATCCACTTAAAGTTATAATGAACAATACTTTTTGATTGTTTTGTACATTTTTCAACTTGTTCTAACACCACTTCAAGAGTAGTCCTATGGTGCGCTGTGACTCCCTGACACCCCTCTGAGTCATAACTGCTCCTCTGCTTCCTCCTAGCTGCAGTGGGGAGTAATTTACTCTTGGGCTATCCCAGCAGCATGTACACGCAGGCTAACACAGCTGCCTGGCCAATGAGTTGAGGAGGTGGAGCTAATCCATCCATTCCCGCCCAAACTGAGAGGTGGTGGAGAAAAGCAAGCTTGCAGTCAGCTTACTTCTGGGCTCCTGGATTCAAGGTCTATGTGACCCATGCATGAGTACAACCGAATTCCTATGCCCCCTTACTCCCTTGTGCCAGCATGTAGTCCATGTCACTAGCTGGTCCAAATGAGGCCTATTCTTCTTTCCACACATGCACCCTCTGCTACTTTCAGTGGGAATCCCCCCAGGGAACAAAACTTGACCCATATATGTTGCTTGACACCATAACAGCCTGTTTACAAGAACGCTGGGCAAGAGTGAGACGTGTCAAAGGATGTTTTGCTTGGCGGCACAGGGCATTTGTCCCCATTGAGCTCCAATGCGTTTCAGGAATGTTAAAAAAAAAAAAAAAGAAAGAGAATGTGAAGACCATTTAAAGGGCAAGCCATCAGCAGCTGTGCCATCTTCCCCTTCAGCTGCTGGCACGTGTCATCTGCTGACATCACCTAGAACGAACCCAGCATCAGGGCATTTAAATTTTAAAGCACACTTGCCACAGCTGTTTTCACAACACTCTGTAGTCCTACTTAGAGCTGCTCCCTGCTGTCCTTCTGAGTTCTCTCTAACCAGCTTTCTTACTGATTTTTTAAAAGGTTTTATTCCTCTGAATAATAATATTCCTCCGAGTTGTCCTGTGATTGTCACCCATCCCTCAATGGGTTCACTAGTTGCCAAGCTTCTCCTCCCAACTATCAGCAGCCTGGTCTTCCTCCCGACCATCAGTATTGCAGCCAAGCGAAGATTCCACATGGAAGCCATGGTTTATTTCTTCACTATGTTCTTTGTTGCGGTAAGAATTCCTTCTGTTTCTTTTGTTGGCAATGTCCTACTTTACCCCTTTTCTGCAGAGTCTCCGTTGGGAAATAAACATGCAAGTGGGCTGAAGGATTTACAAAACAAACAAACAAACAGGAGTCTTATGAAATACTAACGGGGGGGAAACACCATACACTGGGGGGGGGAACATAGCGTATTGCGTATCTGAAAAATACCCACTGTTGGATACGTCTTGCCACTGTGTATTGCCCTGAGTATCCTGAATGAGATTCTTCAGTTTATGATAACAAAGAGCAGTGATCATAGGGAAATATATTTGAATCCTTTATTGTAATTGCACATTTAGGGTGTGGTAGCATCTGTCGGTTTGTCTGTTACAGTTCGTAAGTGGCCATCCCGTATTCTGGTTTTAAACTGTATTTAAAGTAAGTTGATGTTTTGTAATTTTAGACAAAAGCATACAGTGGAATTATTGATTTTACGATAGCTGAATTATGGTGTAAATTAAAGCTGGGAAAGGGGGAATTTATGGAGTAGCAGAGGAAAGATTGAGGGAGATGCCACAGAGTTATCAAGAAAGATGATTATTAACTTTCCAGTCTGGCCGAACAGTCTTGAAATTGTACTAGCCTAGAGTGAAAATCTATTTGCCTTCCCTTCCCATGATAATAATGGGGGTAAGAAGGCTATTTTGTTCACATGCACACACAGAAATAATTAATTCACTTGCTCTAGTCATGCAGATGAGTAGGACTTTGCACAACTGTTCACTCTATTATTATATACACACATTGTTTAACTATACAGAATAGAATTCGCATCATCAACCTAGTTACCTTTCAGACACAGTGGGGATGAGTGTGGTATAAGAACCTGAACAGAACTGGATTTCTTCCACCATGCCCAATAACTGAACTCATATAATATTTAGCCTTTTCAATCATAGATTTCAAAGCACTTTGTAATGGCAAGTAAGAATCGTTACACCCATGTTACAGATGTAGGGAAACCCAGGCCCTGGAAGGTTAAGTGACCTACCCAGCATCATCAAAGCATGTCGGTGGCAGAGCTAGGAGTAGCACACATGTCTCCAGATGCACAGTGCAGTGCTCCATCTGCAGGACCACGCTCATCCCTTATTATAAAGGCCAGCCTTGTTAACAGGGAAAAAAATCCTACTAGCATCTAAAAACCTACCAGACTGGCTAATAAAACTGTACCATGCCACGTAAACACATTTGGCACCATTTTAGGACCTATTACAACTTCCACTGAAGCCAATAGAAAACTTGCCAAGGATTTCGATAGGAGGTGGATCGGGCCCTTAGAGAATAATCTGAAGATGCAAAATATTAAAATGTAAGAAAAGGGAGACAGCTGCCAGGGCTGTCAGAGTATGTCAGGACGAGCAATGCAGTGATGCAGCTGCTGCTGCATTGTATAGTCCCACTCAGACTCCCCCACAGGAAATTCTTCAGCCCAGTGAAAGCATCTGTCCATCTTAGACAAGTGCTTCTACTTCAGCCAGAAATGCTCTCTCCAGCTCTCTCCTCCCCATCTCCAGCCTTCTCAAAGCCCAGCACCAAGCGGGGGAGGGGGGGTTCTCTCAATGGCAAAAGCTGCCATAGAAAAGAGAATGGGCTGAAGAATTTGCAGCAATTCTCACCGTAAACGATATTGGTGTCCCCAGAGAGAAACGCTGGCAAGAATTGTGTCAGGTCCATTTGTTGCCAAATGGGTAAGAGACCAAATCAGGAACGGAGAAGCATCTCAGAGCTAGCAGAGGGGGCGTAGTGGAGTCTAGTTGTCCGAGGAAGAAACTAGAGCTAGGCAAATACATACAACAAAAGAATTCCGACAAATATGCCTTTGATATTCCCAGTGAATTTTCTTTGCCTGTGCTCATACCCATTGTGCATGAAAATGTTTTGCAAATATTGTAGCGAATGAGTTTACGGGCAGGAACGTCCATTGAACCATTGAATTTTAAGGGAATGCTGCAGAGCTTGAAACTCGCCCTTATAAAGAGAAACAGCACAAAGGCCTAGGCACAGTGTAAGTCCTGTTTAGGCTCAGTTGTGGCTGACCCCTGCCTTGGTAATGTGCCTTTGAATTATCCTTTTTAATAGATTTACCATGCATGTGATGGACCTGGTTTGTCAGTGCTATGTTTCATGCGGTATGATATCCTGGAGTATTTCAGCGTCTATGGGACGGCTTTGTCCATTTGGGTGTCACTGATGGGTAAGCATGAGTCTTTGTCAGTTCTTAACATGTTGCAATATTTGTGGGTTGGTGTTTTAGGGTGCAGGACTTGTTGGTGTCTGTGTCACAATGGTTAGTGGGCTTCAGTCATGAGAGAGATGCTGTCCCCTATGACTCCCAATTATAGGAGCCAACTTTGAGATATTTCCTTATGAAACCCAACCCAAGCTGTGGATTCCTATGATTTGAATTGTGCTAGGGCCTCAGGCCTGTAATCATAGGCCAGGGTCCCACTGTGCTAGGTGCTGTACAAACTCAGAACAAATAGACAGTACCTGTCCTAAAGAGTGGCTGGAAAAGCTCTGGATCTGGAGACAAGCACTGATTCTTGACAGGTCTGTTTAGGTATTTGTACCACATTCCTCGCCCTGGAAGCCAAGAAGCCCACAGATGGATGTCCACCACCATTATCAACTCTTAAGCAAATCTTTTTATACCAGGGCTCATTTCTTCAAACTCTGGCAAACATACATAAGCAAATCAAAACTCATTTCTTCTAACAAATAAATCCCCCTGATTTATCAGGACCTAATTTTGGCTGTGAGGAAATATCAGAGCATGCTGGGAAATGGAAAAAATATCTCATTACCCTTTTTTATTTAAAATCTGTGGGTTTTGATCGTTTTCATTTTTTCCTTTCCCCCTTCCACCCTCCCCCCACGCCGTGTTTCCCATTTCCCTGCTTTCTTTTTCTCCCTTCTTCCATAAAGGGAAAAGAAAGGGCAAAGAAAAAAAGAAAAACAAAAGACTAAATTTTCCCTCTTTGATACAGTCAACACATTCTTTGAAAAAACTTTTTCACAAGAATTTCTGATTTTGGCAAAAAGGCCAGTTTTCAACAAAAAAATGTTTCATTCAAAAAATTCCAACCAGCTCTAGAATATATATTCTCTACCTTGATTCACGTGAACAACTGACAAATCACTCAACTCTACCAACCTTCCCAATGCTCAAGTGAGAGTTTACAGTCACATTCCCAACATGCCTTGAGACCATTTTATCCCCACCTCTCTGGTCTCTTTTGATGGAAGGATGACTTGGCCAACATGGCCCTTCCAGGCCAGGGTATCCAGAGTTTATGCAGCATTTACACAGAAAAGGGGGACTGGAATACTTCACCCCACAACTAGGAACATGATAAACCTTCTGTATGTTAAAATGAGTGTGGGAGAAGTTAATCACAAATATGGTTGAGCTCAACAACAGTTTGAATATCAAGGGAAGGGTTCAGCTTGGTTCCTAGTCTATCCATCGTGTGTGTAGTCTCCTTTGTGATGACTTTAAAAAAATAGGCAAATAAGATTCCAGGGCCATTCTCCACTTGATTAGAGCAATTTCAAGGTAAATGAGTTTTAATCTCTATAACTTGGCTGGTTGCAGCTCGGTTGAACTTGATTGCTTTACTATTGAATTTTACAAAAAATAAAAAAATCAGAACTAAGAGGTTTAAACTATTGACCATCAGGGAAACAAATTAAAATGCGGACATTTATCCCTGTAAAAATGTGATCCAAGGACATAGAAGGTGTGGTGACTGAAATGTGGGATAGCTTTTCACCATGTTGCTTGTAAAGATTGAACACACATGTGCGTACGTACAGACCCTTGGGCATGTTTCCTGGAATGCAAATCCAGGACAGCCATAACACAGCTGGGTAAGCTGGAAAAGCATGGAGCCCACTGGGATCCATAACTTTTAATCAGTTATTACCTGATTCTGTGCTAAACAAAAGCCTCTAATAATTTACTTGCACTGGCGACTTCAAGTTTCCAAACTTCAAGCAGGTGTCTGTGCAGCCTATGCTGCATCCAGAGCGAGTTAGCAGAATTCAGATCTTAGGGTGGACAGGGCCCGAATAGTCCTATAGGATCACATGTAGAAGATGGTGCAAAGTCATTAGGGCTGAGGGCTCAAAGTGAAGAGAATAAGGAGGAAGCTAGAGATCCTACCATGCCTGACCATTGGCTCAATTGGCTCAAGTGCCTTGGCCTGTCCACCTGGAAAACTGAATATTACGTTGTTCCCCAGGATCTCCTGGGAAAGTGAATTCAGCCACCACACCCTGAAACCTCTAGAGTTTGGCTGGCACTTGCAAAGTCAACTAGGGGAATTTAGCTACACAAGTCCCACATCCACATCCACCCTAATTGAATTGGCCTCGTTAGCACTAAACCCCCCCACACACTTGGTAAGGCAACTCCCATCTTTTCATGTGCTGTATATTTAGTCCTGCTTACTTGTATTTTCTACTCCATACATCTGATGAAGTGGGTTATATCCCACGAAAGCTTATGCCCAAATAAATTTGATAGTCGCTAAGGTGCCACAAGGACTCCTCGTTGTTTTTACAAGTCCCACTGAAATTAATGGGAGCTGTGTGGCTAAAGTCACCATCATCCTTGGAAATCTTAACCTTTGGGTAAACTTTTCAAAAGTGTCTAAGTCAGGCAGGGCCAAACTGTGGCTCGTGAGCTGCACACAGCTCTTTTACAGTTAAAGTGTGGCTCGCGGAGCTCTCCCTCCACACACAACCATTCTCTATCTACCAGACTGGGCTGGGGGGAGCTTGGGGTTTCTGCCCTGCAGGGAGGGGTGTCTAAGGGCTTTAGCCCCACAGGGGGCCATCAGAGCAGAAGCCCCAGGCCTCAGCAGATGCCACCCCATGGGGTTGGCTGTGCGTGTGTTGCGGCTCTTGAACTTCTGAAAATTATTGTATGTGGCTCAGAGGGTCAGTAAGTTTGGCCACTCCTGATCTAAGTGATTTTGAAGCCTAATTTCCATTTTGAAAAGGGACTGAGTCCCTTAAGAGCCCAAATCCCTTTGACTTTCAATGAGATGCAGGCTCCTGGGTGCCTGTGTCACTTAGAAAAATGCAACTATGTTCCTAAATCTCTGAGATACTTGAAAAGTTTTACCCTTTGTCTCTTTCTGCAAAGGTGCCTTGGAGAGCCACACACAAGAGAACTCTGAGCCTGTGAGCCCTTGTCTGCACAGCTATGGGTCACACTTGGTGTGGCCCTGAAATAATCGTGCAGTTTATATTCCCTACAGATAACCCAGCAAGTCCTGTCTCACACTAGGGTACTAAAGAACTAGATGGGCCCAAGTTCCGCCTGAACAATTAACAAGATTTCTGCTGTTTGATCTCCTCATAGCACTTTACTGGGAAGAAATGATCGTCGTGGCTAATATTGTTATCATGTCTGTGTTTGTACAGCACCTAGCACATTAAGGTCCTAGCTTATGACTCAGGCCCCTAGGCAGCACAGTAATACAAATAATTAATAATAATCACAATTATGTCATGCCACCATGTGGAACAATGGGAAATATCCATTTTGTGCCACTGCCCCGCACAATACAATGCAGTCTTGTGCTGTTCCAAACCTTAATTGTTTTGACAGACAAGCAGAAAATATCAGAGGCCAGCTTCCTACTGCTTCTCTCGGTCTGTAATTGATGACTTGGGGGAAGGAGGTAGCCAGCTACACAGTGCTAACTGATCCAATCCTGGGCAGTTTGTCAGCTGGGAAAGCCGCCACGTGAAATATTATAAAGCACTGAGTGGGCCATCAGACTGAATGAATATTCCTAGCCCTATTTGTTCTGCGTGCAGAGAGGGCCAGGTGCTGTAGAACTAGCTGGTCTTAGATTGCTCCATTTTAAAGTTGTTCTTAAAAACCTCTGATGGCAGTGATTCTACCCCCTCCCTTGGAAGCCTGTTCCAGAGCTTAACTACCCTTAGAGTCAGACGGTTTTTCCTACTATCGGACCTAAATCTCCCCTGCTGCACATTAAGCCCATTACTTCTCGGCCTACCTTCAACGGACGTGGAGAACAATTGATCACCTTCCTCTTTGACAACAGTTGGTGTTCCCTGTGTAAGATACGTCTAGGAACCTCAGTATGTCCCCACTGCGCCGAAATGCGCCCCAAAGCCCTGTCTGCAGCTAGAATCTCACTTTCTGGGAGAGAGCTTTGCGGTGTCTCCAGCTGGTGTCCTGCTAACCTCCCCTTAACCCCTGCTTGCCTGGAGGCAAGGAGCTCTGGTGATCTCAGTGGTCTTTGAAGCTATCTTAGATGTGACACTGTAGGTGATTCTCTCACCTCTGACTAAAGCTGCCCCTGGTTAAGAAGGAAGGAAGGAAATGAACTGGAGGGTAGAACATTTTCATGAGACATTAAATTACCCTTTTTTTATCTCAGAGAGCCTGGGAGTCAGGAAATCTGGGATCTACTCCCAGCTCTGCTAGAGGTTTCCTGCCCACCCTTGGGCAAGCCATTTTGCCTCTCTATGCCTCACTTTCCCCATGCATTGTATAATAACACCGACCTAATAGAGGAGTGGTGGGGTTAGGGTCAAATTCTCAGGGCTTCCATCAGCCATGTTTAGCCCAAAGTGAACCCTTGGATGGAAGGTGCTGTAGAAACACCAAGTATCTGGAGCAAATCAAAGCAATGGAAGATTAGATGCTCTGATCCTCACTTTGGTTTGTGCCTTGCAGCTCTGGCAGAGTTTGATGAGCCTAAAAGGTCGACCTTTGTGATGTTCGGCGTGCTCACTATAGCAGTGAGGATTTACCATGACCGATGGGGATATGGCGTCTATTCAGGACCAATCGGGACGGCCGTCCTTGTGATAACCGTGAAATGGGTAAGTAAGAAGCCAGCTGGCCACTTCACATGGGCTAAGTCACTTCTGGACAGAGAGCTGCAAAGTTCTATCCACCACATCAGTCCCATGTAAGCCCTGAGGTCTGCTTGTACCCACCTCTCAGCCTACCATCAAAGAACAAATTGGGAGTTTCCCAGTAAAGCTTTCAAGCGACAGAGAAGACACTGCAGGGGGAATAATTTTCTTTTCTAAACCAAAGTCTGCTGCACATTATGACACTGGGGCTGGATTCAGAAGGGAAATGGAGTTATTCTGTGTTCAGTGAAAACGGAAAGCAGGCAAATAACAAAAAGCTTTTGTGATCATTGCCGGATTTGATTGGTCTGAGCCACTCTAGCGGATCTCATGTTCTTATGTTTCTAGTCATCAAGAATATATTTATGGAGTTTTTACAATAACCAAGAGGCAGTGTGGTCTGGTAAATTGCCCTGAAATCAATGGAAGATTTACCTAAAAACAGGTGGTACAGCAGAGCCATAATTCTGGTGGAACAAACACAGGTCTGATTCTGTTTTAAGGCTACACAACGTGGCTTCCAACTTCTGGGGGTGACTAGAAAACAGTGGCCTTCCAAAGGGCATATTATGCAGCAAACCATAGGTTGCCACGAGTCAGGTTTATTAAAGAGAGTGTCAGAGTTATTAGAGAGAGAGAGTGTGTGTAAAATTGATAGAACAAAAACTGTGTAAGGACCAAGCATCATGGAAAATTCAGTGAGCCCAGTCCCAAGTTAATAATGTCACTAACCTTCACTTCTTTATTAGTATTTATTGTATTACTGTAGCCCAGGGGTCGGCAACCTTCGGCGCGCAGCCCAACAGGGTAATCCGCTGGCGGGCGGCGAGACATTTTGTTTACGTTGACTGTCCACAGGCACGGCCCCCCGCAGCTCCCAGCGGCCGCGGTTCGCCATTCCCAGCCAATAGGAGCTGCAGGTTGGGGTGCATTGTCAGAATGATGTGAAGGCCTAATAAAAAGGGATTTGCTGTGGCGAAGGGAAAGGTAGCCAAGTGCCTGCCCACACTGTACCTTGCTCTACTCAAGACTCACTCTTGAAAGCAGCAAAGAAGAGCACAATCTTCTCGATCTCATGTCCGGTCCCAGGCGTTAAGAGCTTTAGGATCAAAGAGAGTAACTCAACCAGCCAGTCACTATCAGAGGTTTTGCTTGCTTTGCTTTTTAATTGCATGGGATCTTTCAGAAGATGAACAACGAGATTGAACATGGGGTGAAAGGGCTTCACGTGCTTTCTGTTCCCTTCCAGCTGCAGAAGATGAAAGAAAAGAGAGGCCTGTACCCCGACAAGAGCGTCTACACACAACAGATAGGCCCAGGCTTCTGCTTTGGGGCGTTAGCACTCATGCTGAGATTCTTCTTTGAGGTACCTGTCTGCACAATAAATTACAGTGATAATGACAGGGTGTGAAGGAGATTCCCAGGGTAAGAGGATCTCTGGCTCAAATCCAACCCAGGCCAGAATTCATCTAAAATTATTGCCTAGTCAGCAGGTCTTAGTCTTAGTCCAGGTGCCAGCGGACAGGTGTCCATTTCACATACAAAAACCACTGCCAGAGGCTCACCTGAGCAGACATTGTGCTGAGTAGTGATTTAGGTGCCTACATCCCTGTTTTGACTCCCTGCAATCCCCAAGACTCCCGCCAAACTCTGTAGGTGCCTAAACTCACTCGGCACCTAAGTGTCAGGTGAAAGGTCCCTCGGTGCCCATGTTGCTGCCTCTGAACATGCGCGTGGCTGCCTCACCCTAAGCGTCTGGAGGCCTATCTCCCGCCTAAGCCCCAGAGCAACTCGCATACCCGGGGAAGCCGGGCATTCATCCACCTAAATCATATGTGGGGCCCAATCCAGTAGACATATGCTGAGGCCACATAATGGATTGGACCCCCTACGAAATCCTGCTGAAGAAGGAAGGGGTGGGGCCACTACCTAGCAGTTAGAGTGCTCACCTGGACTGTCGGAGACCCAGGTTCAATTCCCTCCCTCGTCGGCATCTCCCATTGGCTAGCTACATGGCGTTCTGGCTTTTGCGGATTACATTGGCCCCTATCTTCCCCATGCATTGTATTGGATCCTAGGTGCCTCGCTCAGGCTTTGTGGATGGCAGTGTTGTTTTCTAAGCATCTTAAAGGTGGGCTCTGCAACACTGCGTATTGCAACACCTAAATCCCTTCATGGACCCCACCCTTCTTGTCCTAACTCACGGCACCACAAGGCCCTGAGGAGCTCTGCCAGAGGTGCTAATAAGACTATTTAAATGGACGGCTTCTCACAGTGGGCATGCCACCCTCTCATGCAACTCCCCACGGGAATGCCTTCAACCCCAGCGCACTGAATGGCTTAAAAAGGAGGAAAACTGGTCTATTAATAGAGCCCTGCAAATCTGCAGATATCCGCTTTATATCCACGGATATCCATGGACTATGTTTGCAGATCGCGGATCGGATGTGGATACAAATTTTGTGTCTGCGCAGGCCTCTATCTATTAATTATAACCAGAGTTGGGCAAAGAATTGACAGCGAATCATTTAGTTGATGAGGATTTTTTTCGTCTCTTTTTCCATTGGCAAATTGTCTGTGAACTGCTCACAATTTTCTCCAGTGGGGGGACCTCTTGAAAATCTGGCCCTGTGTGATTTAGCCAAAGGTCAAAACCCATATCAGTGGCAGAGTGAGGAACAGAACCCAGGAGTTCTGATGAAGGGCCTGATCCAATGTCCACTGAACTCAGTGGAAGGATACTGATTGACTCCAATGGGCATTGGATTGGGCCTTCAACCTTCTGCTGTAACCACTAGACTATACTCTTTTCCTGTACAGAAGGCCCAACGTCACCAATGTCCATGAAGAAAAGGGGACATAACACTCTCGACCCTGCCTCTCGCTGAGCATGTGTTCAGCCCTTGGGTTACTGCCATTTTGTGCATTGGGAGCAAATCGATACGACTTCACAGGGCTGCCAGAGGATTATTTTTCAAAGCTTTAAGTAATTGCAACTTCTAGCAGAACATAAAAGCGTCACTTAGCACAAATTCCCCTCCCCCCAATCCACAATCTCCTCCTTCCTTCTGCTTGAGCTTCTCCTAAGCAGTGTAATGAAACACTTCATTCAAGAGCAGAGAAATGTGCAAATCAGCCTGTGTTAAGTCCACTTTACTTTTCCACGGCTGCCTGTTTAAGGCTGGAAACCCTTTTTCAGCACTGAAGGGAGGCAGAGGTCTCAGGATCTCATTTCTGGGCTGGTGGGTGCGACCGGTATTGCCCAGATGGCCTGTAACAGAAGAGGGGACGGGTAGGACGTGTACACAGAGCATTTATCAGTGATGCTCCTCGAAGGGAGAGATTTTCCAAAGAGCTCAGTGCTCCCATTGAGGCACCTGAATAAAGGCCCCATTTTCAGAAGTCCTCTGCATTCATCCTGGCCAAAATAGAAGCCAATCTCTTTTGGAAACTTGGTCTTGTTGCGGAGGCAAACCACACTGGGCCAGGTAGTTGTGAGTCTGTTTGGACACAGCTCCTTTGTGGGAGACCACGAGTTGCAAATATGTTCACACCATAAGGGTGAAATTACACCAGAGACCAGCCTGATGAGGGCATATTCCATGTCTATGGGGATTTGCCAGTACTGGGTCTAAGTTCAGGCGTACCAAAGCAGTAGAAGCCTGCTGTACCATCTTAGGTGAGAGGTACTGCAATTTCTGGCACTTCGGGCAAATCAAAAGGCTTTCACAGTGAGTTGCTAGATGCTATACCACGGTCTCTTAATCTCAGTGCCCCAAGCCATGCTGGCATCTCTGTGATACTGCACACAGCAGATCTCCAGAGCTTCCCAGACAGGAGGTTCCAGCAGCAACAGCCACCCAGAGCTCAGTGAAAAGTGCAACGAATAGTTCACCTCCCTTTTGTTTTCACTTTCTGTGAGCATCTGCGTGACTGGTCTTTACTAGCATGAATAGCCCTCAGAGCGCAACCTTTCAGCATGCACATCCAAGCATCAGCAGAGAGCTAAATATAGTACAGTGGCAGAGAACTCATTTTAAATCTGGTTTCTGCAGCAGGCATTCACACCAGAAATCCACTGACGGGCCTGATCCAAAGTCCACTGAAGTCAATGGAAAGACTGCCGCTGACTTCAATGGGTTTTGGATCAGGCCCTATAAGAGCATTGCTCATCCAGTCAGGGAACAGAAATAATACCGTGTGATTTATTTGACCAATCGCAACTAAGCAACACAGCTTGAATTTCAAATAGCAAGGCACTGAATGAAAAGGGAAAAAGACTGAATGGGGTGCCAGGGCAGAGAACCATGGGATTAAATCTGTCCTGTGTGTATATGAAATACTCTAAAATTTCAGTGATGTGAGAATCTTGAACCCAGAGAGGACGCAAATCCTCCAGCAGTGGAAACTCTCACTGACTCTCTCTTTGGTTTCAGGAGTGGGATTACACCTACGTGCATAGCTTCTACCATTGTGCTTTGGCCATGTCCTTTGTCCTGTTGCTGCCCAAGGTGAACAAGAAGGCAGGAAATGGGGGAAACCCAGCCAAACTGGACTGCTCCACTCTCTGCTGCTGTGTGTGATAAGAGTCTCCCCCTGCCTGGAGGCTGGGGCGCCTGTATCCCAACACGCACCTTTTCGCCACCTGGAAGGACCCTACGAAAGTTATGCAGCCCTCGCTCGTTAGTCCAGTGGGGATTGTGACCAGAAACAAGCTGCCAGCTCTGAAGCTTTTTTCCCTGCGGTGGAAAAGAATTCCACTGCCACCCCCCACACCAAAATGCAGGTTGTTACAAATTTTTAATTTGCTGATGAACAAAACTGGTCCTATTCAACCTGAAAGGCCTTGTCCCTTGGCCATCATTCATACCAGAGGCTTCCATGTGTCCATGTAGCCAGCTGATAACTTTCTCAGTAACTGTGTGTATATTCCCCAAAGAGAAACTTTTCTCCACCTTAGAGAAGTCCTGGCTGGCAAGTGATCCTGTCCATTGGCTACTGAGTAAATCCAGCAGGTCTTTGCATCCCCTAGAGAGTTTGGTGGGTCACATATACCCATGGGGCATCACATTTCGTTTGCCTTTGGAAATGAGCGTTAATGTTGCACTTTGCACACTTGCAAGTGTGAGTTTGCTAAACCTGAGTGAGTGGGGTTTTGCTTTTTGTAACACTGAAATAACAGAGCCTGTATTTTTGCTAGAAATTTACTATTTTATTTACACCTTCTCTTAACATTATATGTTTAACATGTTGATTTTGTAAGTATGGCCCAACCGAACCTTTAACACTGTGATTTGGGTACAGAGCAGATACCAGTGTTGTGGGTCACACAACTATCCTAGCCTTAATGTCATTATTAGATGTTTAGAGAGAGCCACGGATGTACAGGGCACCTTACAGACAGAGAGGAGACAGAATCTCTGCCCTTGAGAGCTTACAGCCTAAATAAGGCCAGACAAACACAAGAGAAGACAACTGTGCAGAAGAGGGAGAGGGGAAGATTTGTGAGGAATTGCCTGAAGAGGAATGTGAAGAAGGAGAGAGGACCAAGAGAGACTGTCCCAGGCATAAAGAGCAACATGACGATTGGCTCAGAGGCCATGGCCCTGAATGACCGAGGAGGCCAGCTGAATCTGAGGTTATAGACACCCTAGATGGGAGAGGATCTGAATCCAGCCTACTGCTCTGAAGGTCCTGCGGGGGCACTGGCAGGGTCCCGGGGGGACACAGGTAGCCTAGCTTGGAACTCTGGTGCACAGAGCCTCCAGGTCTTTGTTCTCCCCTCCTATTCTCTCCGCTTGTCATTGGAGCTCTTGCAAATACTGAGCAAACCCCCGAAGCTCTGGCTTCGCTCAGACTCGCTCCTCACTCAGCCAAACTGCTCGGCAAAGTCAATGGCAGTTTTGCCCGAGCGAATAAGAAGCTGAAGGATTTGGCCCCCGGCTACCTCCTCTCCTCTGCCAAATCCACTCCGCCTCAGAGTGAGCTGCAACACTGGGCACTTTGTGCTTGCGAACCTGTTTGGCTCACACAGCCACCAGGTGTGCTTGCACAGAAGCTCATTAGTATGTAAACTACATGGAAAATTAGAGGCACAGAAAGAAGCTCCTGGAAGGGCGGGGAAGAGCTGTAACCCTATAATATCCCATCAAACAGACTATTTACTCTAGCAGAAGTGTATGATTAGTTTAGACTGTCTGGGAGAAAAGCCAAGACCATATGTCATGGACAATTAGAACAGTATTGATATACAGTGATCTCCATTGAAGGCCTGCCTTAAGCCTGGGCGCCTTGGGAACAGAGCTCCATGGGGGTCATTCATCAGAGCAGCCTCCTGCTTGCAGGGCGACAACCAAAAATGAATGCGCTTCCAATAAAAACACAAATAAATGAAAAGGCACAATGGGCCCAGCCACCACTGAGAGGCTGGTGCTGCCAGGATACCACCAATGCTGCTGTAGCCTCCAGGTACACACAGACATCCCATAGTCTTGTGCCTACAGCAAGGGTCACATACAGGGCTAGACTGTCCAGTTTATCACTCAGTCAGACACCTATACAAGTGGTTTTCCAAAGAGATGAGCATGGTGGGTTCCCTTGTTGCCCCATGCTGTATAGCCTCTGGGTAGCAGACATGCCCACCAGGCATTCACATTTTGTCCCTTGCATGCATGGTTTTTGAAGTGATCCTTCCCCATCTAGAGGTTGCTCGGAGTGCCCATTAGATGGCTCAGATGTCTTTGTTAGAGCACATGGAGGTCTCAGATTATTTGGGGGAGAGGAGGGCTCTTACCCGCAGCACGCTGTAAGCATCCCCGCCTAGCGTCCGAAGGAGCATTCTGCAAAGGATCACTGCCCACCTCTTAGGAATTTGTCTCAAATGCTAATTTCAATAGCCAATGAACAAACAGAAGACCGCACCCAAACAGAATATATTTCCCATGCATGAGGGACCACAGTCTCCTGCTCAGGAAATGGACGATCTTGTGGCTACGCTGCTGGCTTGGAAAGCAGGTGCTCTGCAATCTGCCACAGGCAAGTTACTCGGTCTCTCTCTGGCTCAGCTCCTCATCTGTAGAAGTGGGACGATAAGACTTCCCAACCCCCCTTGGGACGGTGCAAGCCATTCAGATACTAAAGTTATTGGGGTCTATACAAGTAGCTGCATCAATCATCTAATCTTAATTCTAGGTTTTAAAAGAGCACACATTTTTAAAAGACACCCAACAGCCAAACGTACCGTACAATCCAATACCAACTCAAAGCTACCTGGACAACTGGCCTTCAGCTTGCGTCGCTCCACCCAACCCCCAGCTATCTCTTTACTCACCTTCTGCACCTGGTCCTAACCGTAGACTGTGAGCTCTCTGAAGGCACAGATTGCCATTGTTTTCGCTTTTTGTACTGCAGCTAGTACAAAGAGGCCCTGAACCCTGACTGGGGACTCTAGATGCTTCTGCAATAAGAACAATCAGGGTCATCAAGCATGAGCTCTGGGCAGAGCATCAGCTGTAGTGTAATTTGCTGGATTTATGAGCATGCTGCAGAAAAATAATTTCAAAGTAATCATTTGCATGTATTTAACTTGCCCATTCTGCAATTGTTATTTTTAAAGGGGCGGGGGGGGAAGGAGGAAAATCCTTTATGGAAGGCTTTAAAAAAAATGTATTTGTAGCACAAGGAAGTGGAATAGTTCCTACATAATTAAAGTTTTCTACTAAACGTGTATTATAGACTCATTTGGACCAAACACGCATGTGCCTTCTACAGACCTCCATTTTCAAAAGTCACGAGTGATTTTCGGGATTTTTGAGACACTTTAAAGAAGTCTGATTTTCCTGGGGGCAGGTGCTCAGTATTTTCTGTACATCAGGCCCTTTTACACTATCTCAAGTTAAGCCCCCCAAATCACTAGTCACTTTCAAAAAAATTTAGGCCACATTTTTTAGGGAAAAAAACACATATTACTAAGTCTATCAACTGAAGCCAATGAGACAGTTCCAAATACAGACATTTATCACTTAAAAACCGACACAGTACTCTTCTTAAGGTAGCCCTGAGGGGCTACCACTAAACTTGGGCCTCCCTGCGCTAGGCGCTCTATATACATATAGTAAGAGAATGCCAATTACTTGGGCAGAATGTGTGCTAAGCACTCTAAGGTCCTTACTAAGAGTTGTTACATAAATGCAATGTATTTTGATTACTGACTGCCAGGAAACAAATGGATCCATAAAGGGAAGGGAGTCAGACATGCTTTCAAAATATATTATGCATTTTAAAACAAACAAACAAACAAGCCGGGCAAATAAGCAAAAGCACAGCTAAGTAAATTAAAGCTGCATGAGCCGACCAATCTGCTGCTCACACCTGCCCTGCATTTAGGTGTCATATAAAAAAGTTAACTGGTCTATTGTATACTAATAAAATACCAGGCAAGGGACATTTTTCCCCTTGTGCTGATGCAACAGGGATCTGCACTGAATGTGCAAACCTCCAAAAAAAAAAAAAAGCACTTACTCTAGCAGCTGCTGTAATATATGACAAGGGAGGCTCTGGAACAGCAACTGCCTCCTTAAAAGGGACACAAAAGAGCAGAAGAATGTAAAAAAACCTGACCCTTTATTCCAAACGATTAGGACATAAATATTTAAAGAGGTTAAAGGAGCTCGGCGGGGGGGGAGATTTTCAAAAAGTCCAGCTTCCATTGAAAATCAGTGGAAGCCAGGAGCCTCAAGTGAGACTTTCTACAGCACCAAGGTGACTTAGGGGTACAGTGAAAGTCAAGGGCACCAGTGCTCCTAAATCACTTTGTTACATCTGGAAATCCCACTCCCACCTCCCATTCGTGCCTTTGGAAAGCTTCCTGCAAACACGCAAGCTCAGTGCAGCGGCATCAAAGGCAGGCTGGACTAACCCTATGATGGTTTAAAACACAAAGGAGGCAGAAGAATTATGGAGAGTGGCACCGTGGAGAGAGTTAACCAGGAATAATGAGCAGGAAGGGAAATTTACATTGAACATCCAGGGACATTTCCCAACAGAGAGATCTCAAAGAGGGTGGGATAATTCACCCCAGGGAAGGAGCAGATGCCTCACTGCTCAGGACATTGCAAACTACCCTGCACAAACTCCAACTCTCTCCATCCGTGTTCTACCCACCCACCGTGCTGTTGTTGCTGAAGGGGAAATGCGGTGAGGGGGACAGCGTGGGACCTTCTTGCCCTTAAAAGCAGCCCTCTACGTTGGCAGGACGGCGTAGGGGAAGCTGGCTCAGCTGCTACCCAGGCTGTCCCTGTTCTGCCGACGCACAGAGGACTTTGGCAAACAAAACGAAACAAAAAACCATGGCAAAACATCCAGATGTCAGGGAGCTGAAGCCTGGGGCCCCAGTGAGAAAACCCTGAAGCCAGTCTTCGGAACTCACAGCAGGCGCGTCCCTGGGGATCGGAACTGCTTCAGCAGGTTTAAGCACAAGCATGGACATTTTCAAAAGTGGCCACTAATTCTGCGTGCCTCCAAATCTGGATGCCCACCTGGAGACATCCTGGGCCTGGTTTTAATGGGTGCCTCGTCTGGTTAAAGCCAGCGGGAGCTCAGCGCCTCCAAACATCCGGCTCAAGCGGTCTCAAGGTTGGACAGCCAAAAACCGAGGCAGCCAGAAACAGAGGCCGCTTTAGAAAATACGGCCGCGGAGCTTTAAAACTAAGGGGGAGATTTTCAAGGGCACAAATGGCTGCGAGGTGGCCCTGTCTGCTTCCTGGGGACAGCAAGGTGCTCACCGGCCATTTCAGCCGCTGAGGATCTCCCCCCAATGTCTCTAGGAGCTTCCCCTCCACACACACTCCCCCGGGCCCCTGTAAACAGCTGCTTTCTGCAATCCTCACCCAGCCAAATTCTGGTCTTGGTTATGCCAGTGCAACTCTCCTGGCGGCAGTGGAGTTCTCCCGAGGTAGCAGAGAGAGCAGAATATGACCCCGCTGACGTCAAGGGAGATCTGCCCATGCCAGGGCAGAGTAGGGACTGCAGGGCTCAGCCATGTGGGCTTGAACCCAATCTCACTGAAATCAAGGCAAAACTTCCACTGGTTTAAATGGCGCAGGATCAGGCCCCACATACGTGATGTTGCTGACATGCAGTACAATACCCATCATGCCATCCCCCTCCTGGGTGTCAATATTTCCTATAAACAGATAGCAGAACAAAGCAAACCCTCTCCCCTCTTTACCAAGCAAGAGTCAGGCTTCCTTATGAGAGGCACAATAGCCGAGTTCTGTATCTCGGAGGCAGGATATCCCAAGCAATACAAATGCAGAGAAATATTATAAACATTTACAGCAACGTAGACAAAACAGTCTCTTGTAACCTTTTAGCGTGGTGGAGAGCTTTGCCTGTAACAGCTCTTGAGCCTCTGCCAAAAATTCTTGCTGTTTTCATAAGAGTAGGTGTTTTTGTCTAAGGTGCAGTCTGAGTGCTGTGACCTTTGTCATGTCTGCTACTGAAATTTCCTGCCTCTCTGTTATTCTCCTCTTCGGTAAGACGATATGAAACCCAAAACTTTTATTGCCCCTTTTAAAGCGTCTTTATAGCTCCCCGTCTACTTCATATAGTGTCTTATTCTCCAACACTGGGATATTACTTATGGGATCCGTGCTTGACGCTGCAAAAGGCATTTGGGTTTCATACTGCCCAAACTGCCTGAGCTTTTTAACGGCAGAGGGATAAGAAAAAAGAAATGAGATGGGAGAGATTCCGCATTTTAATTTAATAGGGCTTCTGAGCCTGTATACGGGGCACATGCTCCATGTGCAGCTGATACAGGGCAAGATTCTGCAAGCTTTATTCGTGCTGAGTTAGCTTTTCATTCATGCAGACAGGTACTACTCAGTATGTGGATGGAGTGCAGAGCCCAGCCAGGGATAAATAAGGGGTGGGGGGGGAGCGGCACCACCCTGTCTTTTAAATTGCATAATGCCCGCAGCCTGGCTCGGCAGAGTGATGGTTTTAAAGGGTTCCCTTTTCTCTTCTCCTATTTGCCCTCATCAGATGTGCAGCATGCCGCTGTCACGCCTCTAGGCTCCTGCTCCAGTGCACGGAGGCGCTGCAGGTTGTGCCTAATGCCACCACTTCCGGGAGCGTCTTTCACAGTTATCTGCACTGCAGTAGGGTCTAGGAGCCCTAGTCCCAGACCAGGACCCCACCTTGCGAGGCGCTGTACAAACACAGACCCCACACACACACCTGACACACAGAACAAACAAAGTTGGCCGCCTGCCCCACAGAATTTACAATCCGATCGAGGCTGCATGGTCTCCGCTGGCTTCTGCTTCCTCCCCGGCCATCGGTGTTCGACTTACAAAGCTTTAAGGGCTGGAGCATCTACACGACACATGTCCCCACACTGAGGCACGTGGAGCTCTGGACAGACTGAGCTTCGGGAATCGTGTAGGCTTCATTGCTCAGGAGGGGCCCGCTTTGCTTCTGGCCACCTCTGCTGACAGGTGAGAAGAGGCTACGGCCCTGTACCCACCCTCCCGTGTCCTCTGCACCTCCCTTTTGGAGTGGTTTGGCACCCCCTGTCAGTGGTGGGAAGGAGCAATCTCGACACTCTCTTGAGCATAGAGAGGACAATCGTGCCTGACCTTCATGCCAGGTGTGCAAGGCGAAGAAACCCCCTCCCATGCCAGGCACTTGAGCGGGGATTGACCACAATCCAACTCTGTACAGCTTGGGTCCTGGCTTCTCATGCCACGCAGAGGAGTTAGAGACACCCACCCACAGAATTAAACGGGACGGGCTCGTGACAGGACACACGCCGCTCTAGAACTCCTCACCACCACTGACCTCCCAAGAGCCTGGATTCATTGATCTTCTGGGGGCACCACAAAGACTATTGCCCAAGGAGCTATCGAGAGGGATGCATGTTCATTTCCTGCATAGGAGGCAGATTTGGAGTCTCCTCTGGCATTGACCCAGTTTTTAAAGGTGTTTGTATCCATTACTGGACGTGGTTTCGGTCATACACTTGGAGCAGGAAACGCCCAGAACTCAGTTCAGCTGCGACGGAGACAGAACCTGAGAGATCCCTTAGAACCAACCCTGTCAGCTGAGAGCGTCAACTCAGCTCATACTATTGCCAGAGGAAAATATGTTCGGCGTTATTTTTATCCAGCACAGTAGGCAGACATGGTGCTTTACCGCTTTGAAAAGTACATAGTGCGGTCAATACTGCTTAGCATTTCCAGAGCCCTCTCCATCCTCCCAAGCCTCACACCACCCCTGTGAAGGGACTATGTATTAGCGCCATTTTACAGAGTAATGGGCCCAGCACAATGGGGTTCTGGCCCCTAGGGGCTGTGGTGATACAAATAATAACACATTGCACTTGTATAGCACTGGTTCATGGTGGATCTCAAAGCCCTTCACAAACTTCTGTCCATGCCATTAGCCACATTCTAAGGAGAGGGAAATGGACCCACAGAGATGGGGAGGGACTGGCCCCACGCTTCAGATGGAGTCAGTGTCAGAGTGTGGATTGGAAGCCAGGAGTTCCTGGCCCCCAGACCTGTATGCAGAGCACTAGACCACACCCTTCGCAGGGGATCAAGAGAAGTCTCTATCCTGAAGCGTTTACACTCTAAGAGCCTGAGCCTGCTAGGTGCTGGCCATTCTCAA